CAAATGGAGGCCCGCATTCGTAATGATTACTGGGATATAATGTGTGCCGTTTGGAAAGTGTGGCCATTCGTAAGTCTAGTGAACTACTATTTCATTGCACTCAACTATAGAGGACTAGTCATAGCATTTGTCTCATTCTTTTGGAGTATATACTACACGTGGAAAATGGGCGAAAAGGGTGACCAAAAAAGTTAACCCGTTAGTAGTGTTTCCAGTAGTCACCAAATTCTAGTCCATTTATTATTATATAATAGTATTATCTTTCTTATTGTTGTATTCTTATGGGTGTATTCCCACCCAATGTTTATGAGTTTTATTCAAAATTTTAACAATTATTAAAGTTCCAATTTTTAGTTTTAATTTAATTTACTTATATACTTTTTTAACTATATAAAACACATCTACACTATTACATAGATTTTTGTTTATTTAAAACTCTCCTTCTTCTCTGATATGTAACTTTAAAAAATGATTTGAATGCTTTTTATATACATTACATGCTTAAATCACGCGCACATTGAAATGCAGCCAATCATTTAAACCTCATAAAAGCCATACTGTATATTTTATACTGTATACAATAATGCACAGTCTTTATTGTATGTTTGTTGCATAACTCTGCCACTATTACATCATGGCATCATGGTTTGTTGATGTTTTGCGTGATATTAATAATTGTGATTTAAATTATATGTATTAGTCATGTTATATACATAATTATTTAACCGTAATATGTTATAAACGAATTATATGTTAACAATGTTTATATATTTATTATAATTGTAGTTAAATTAATTGTATTGATTGAATAGCAGTAATGTTGATGAGAGTGTTTGCTGTGTATAACAGACTCCTGAAGGCCTACCCATTGGTAACTCAATGCACGACAACCGGTGTATTGCTTGGAGCGGGAGATGTGATCGCACAGAAAGTGTTGGAGAAGAGACATGACATTAATTGGAAACGGACGGCAAAGTTCGCCGCATTTGGACTCTTATTTATTGGACCTGTTTTTAGAAATTGGATATTATTTCTGGAGAGAGTGTACGGCACGAGCGGCGCATTTACTCCCATCAAGAAAGTGCTCACCGAACAGGTATCCTATATATTAATTAAATTATGTTTGTCGCCAATAATTAGAACCAGAACGTGATTATTTATTTAATTGATTTTTATTTATTTTTTAAAGTTTAGTGTATGGGAGTGTGCTGGGAGTGTATGAGAGAGTGTTTGGTGTGTATGATAGAGTACTGGGAGAGTGCTGGGAATGTATGGAAGGGCACCGGAGACTATGGTAGAGCACAGGGAGACTATGGTAGAGCACAGGGAGGTTATGGTAGAGCACAGGGAGGCTATGGTAGAGCACCGGGAGGCTATGGTAGAGCACAGGAAGACTATGGTAAAGCACCGGGAGGCTATGGT